AGTGTGCCATTGTACTCCAGCCTGGGCAACAGAGTGAGACTCCAACTCAAAAAAAAAAAGGCTAACTTGGCCTCAGAGTCTGAACAATCCAGCCACCAAGACTCCATTTCCTTACTTCCTTTTCCACTTCAGATAGCCTGACACTCCGGTCTGGTTTTTTTTGGAAACTGCTCTCCCTGAGGATATGGAGACCAGGGAATGGCTGAAAGTGATGGAAACTTCTGTTATTTTGTTTGACCTCTCAGGAGCATAGGAGGTTGTTGATCACACCGATCTTCCTTTTTTTTTTTTTTTAAAACAGAGACAGGGTCTTGCTCTGTCACACAGGTTGGAGTGCCATGGCACGATCATAGCTCACTGCAGCCTCCAACTCCTCAGCTCAAGGGATACTCCTGCCTTGGCCTCTGTAGTGCTGAGATTACAGGCATGAACCACCAAGTCCGGCCTCCTTAGCTTCTGGAGCTCACAGTAAAAATTTGTGAAGGACAGGGCATGGTGGCTTGTGCCTGCAATCCCTGTAAACATTTTGAAAGATGGAAGCGAGAGGATTGCCTGAGCCCAGGGGCTCGAGACCAGCCTGGGCAATTTGGCAAGGCCTCGACTCTACAATAAATCAAAAAAATTAGCTGAGTGTGGTGGCGCATGCCTGTGGTTCCGACTACTTGGAAGGCTGAGGCGGAAGGATCGCCTGAGCCCAGCAGGTCAAGGCTGTGGTGGCCGTGAGCGTGGCCCTGCACCCCAGCCTGGATGACAGTGAGACTCTGACTCTAAAAACAAACAACAACAAACAACCTGTGAAAGAAAAACAATCCAAGAAATTTAGATCAATGGAGAACTGGTGTAGGCTGAAGACACTAGAGTGAGCAAAACCCAGTCCCTGCCTGTGTGGCACTTGCTGTCCTGTGTCCTGCCTGAGGTAAGCCTGACTCTGTAGGTGCCCAGGAGTGATCTGTGCACCAGTAGAGGCTGAAAATGGAGACAAGGTCTGGAGCTGGAGCGTGGCAGTGGGGGGCTGGGGCGGCGCACCTTCTGTCACTGCCTCCGGGACAGGTGAGGCACAGCCTAGTTGTAGGCAACATTTATAGACACTTGGCTGCCGGGGGAGGTGTGGGGCTGTGGGTGGGGGCAGGGACGAGGGGCCTGGGGCTCCGAAGCGCTGGCAGAGAATCAGGGCCTTCTCACATCCTGGAGAGGCGGTTACCTTGCTGAGTGGACCCTCGGCGGAGAAGGGGCTCTGCCGCACGGATCTCTGCTCCTTTTGACCTGGTGTGGGCTCCTGAGCACAGACGTGGTCTGCATGGTGCTGTGGGGCGCTGGGCGAGGGCCCGGCCTGCCTCTAGCTTCGTTGCTAGAATGAAGTGCTATCCGCAAAGCCTAAATTTAGGCAGAGGAAGGAAGGAAAGAAGGAAGGAAGGAACCCTTGGCTTCCTATGGAGGGGAGTGAAGGGGGAGGGTGGGGCAGGAAAAGGCCTGGCCTGGCCCTTCTTACTCCAGGTGCCCTGGATGGGCCGTCTCTGGCTACGTTCTCTCCACCAAAGATGCAGTCTGGCAGAGCAGTATCAATACTCTTCCAGGTGCAGTGGTTCTGGGACTCCCTCCCGCCTGCACAGGTCAGGGGTGGGCCATGCCAAGCACATAGCTGCGGGCAGAGCTGATGAGTCTGGGAGACGGTTGGGTAGTGCTGGTTCCCTTCCCCCACTCAAGACCATGGGGCTGGCACACTGCTGGCTGCAGGTGATGGGGCGTGTCCAGTGCCCCTGGTGGCAGGGCCAAGAGCTGCAGGTGCCTGAGCAGGGAATCCTGCAACGACCAGCTGGGATGGGAGAGAGGCAGGCTGGGTGGGGCCAGAGAGACGGGGCGGAAGGGCAAGAACACAGACGATACAGCCACGGTGGCTCCAGATCAGGAAGTTTTATTGCTGACATGCAGGAAGAGTCCCCATGTAGTACAAAAATATGTCTTTATACAAACTTTTTTGTGACTTTTTTCCATTTTGTTTCTTTACAACAGGACTTCTCTCAGTGTGTGACACCCAGTGAGGGCAGCCCCAGCCTCCTCTCATGTGCTTCACTAGAAATGTCATCAGACTTGTGGGTAGACCTTGGGAGGGGCCCGTCTGTCTGACGGGGCTCTGCAGACCCCAAGGGTATTGCTCTGAAAGGGTGGAGAAAGACCACACATGGAAAGCAGACCCAAGAGTCTGGCCAGGGGCTCCGTAGAGATAGGCCCTGGCAAGCCTCAGACCCTCACCGGAGGACTCAGTCAAAGGGCTGGGAGCCCTAGACCAGCCTGCATTTCTGCTCCCTTAGGAGACATCTCTTTACGAAATAAATATAGAAAAGAGGGCATCCCCCATCCCCACAGCACGATACCCTGGCTCTCAGCAGCTGGATGGCTGAGAAAGACGCAGAGTTTGGTGCTCAGGGGGAGTAAGTGCTGGGCTCAGGCGGGCTCCCACAAACCCACTGAGGCAGAGGCATGAGGCGCCCAAGTGCTGGATGGGGGCATGGGGAGGAAGGGGCGTGGGCGGCCCTGCTACTGCTGGCAAGAGGTGGCCCCATTTTTTCCAGATGGGGAAACTGAGGCACAAGGAGGTTTGGGAACTTGCCCAAGGTCACTCACAGTGAGTCAGCTTTTGAGGGGAAGGAGGGCAGCTCACACTCTGGGAAACACAGTCACCTCCCCACTGGGGAGCAAAGACAGGCAGGAAGGCCCTGAGGGCCCAGGGCTGCCTGGAGGGGACACTCAGCCTCTCTGAGGGCATATGGGGGTAGGCCTCTGGGAAAGGGTCTTTGCTTGGCATTAGGTAGGGCCAAGTCGAGTGAGGGGAGGGGAGGAGAGGGCATTCTGGTGAGAACAGCATTTCTGGCGAGAACAGCATTTCTGGCAAGACGGGCATCCACTTCAAAATCTCGGCTCAAAAGGGCAGCAGGGCTGTTCTCAAGTCAGGCAGGGCAGGGTCCCCCAAGCCCTACGATTCTCTCCCCAGGCCCCCACCTGCCATGAAGGACACTGGCCAGGGTCTACTGGGAGAGACACCACATCTGTCATGAGGCAAGGGTACAGGGGGGTGCCCCCACTGTCCCCTGAACACAAAAGCAGGGTGGGGGTGGGAAGCACGGGGCAGGGTCCCCTGCTCACAGCCAAGCCCATGGCCCTCCTCCCCAGTCATCCACCAGGCCCCTTCACATTGTGAGTCCACATTACCTCGGTACCACGGTGGAGGATGGAGAAGGAACAGTTAATGCGCGTGTACAGCACCTCAGAGAAGCTACTGAGATGGGAGAGAGAGCCAGGTCTAGAGAGGCCTCCCATCACTGGAAGCAGAGGGACTGGTGGGCTGAGTGGAGAGGGCTGGCAGGAAGGGCTTCTCTGTGCCTGGGGGGTGAGGAGGGAGCCCCCGTGTGGGCTGTGGACTCCCTGCTGTCCAGCCAGGCTGGGGACAGGGAGTGGCCATGGGCGAGCCACCTAGAGATGGGAGAGAAGCTGGTTACAGTAAAAAAATAAATATATTTGAATTCAGCTTAGGATGAGGTGAAGGTTTTCCAAAGCTTGGACTGAGGGGCCTGGGGTCAGAAGGGAGGGATGGAAACAGGCTGTGGCAGGTGCCTAGGGGAGAAGGGGGAGTGGGCGCTCATTCTGGGGGCCAGCAGTGAGCTGCACTTTCAGCTTATTTGGACTGTGGGGAGCAGCGCCCGGGTTAGGTGGGCAGCGGCTGGGTCAGGCCCTGGGGTGGGCGGGCAGGCTCTCTCTTCCCTCTCAGTCCAGAGACAGCATGGTTAAAGAGACAGAGGTAGATTAAAACGTCATGATTAAAAGCAGATTAGTTATCTAGCAGTCATCCCAAAAGGTAGCTTCGTGGTACCTCTGCTGACCCCACGTGTGACCTGGGCTGTCCCTGTCCCTGCCCTGTCCCCGTTGCAGCCCGGGAGAGTCTAGCACTACAGGGCTCAGCCCCCACAGCCAAGCCCTGGCTGGGGGCTGGAAGAGGTGGTGGCGGTGCTGGTGCCCCTGGCCGAAGCTGCTATTTCCGCAGGTAGCGTTGTGCCAGGATGGCTGTGTCCAAGGAGGTCATGGGCTGGGCGTCGTGGCCTAGCCGCCGCACTGGCGGCACGCTGCCGAACTGCCGCTTGGGCACCCAGCTCCGGGCCTCGTGGATGGAGCTCTTCTCCTCCGCCAGCAGCAGCTGCTGCCGCATGTAGTTCTCAAACTCGTACTGGGAGCACTCCTCTGTCACCTTCACCTTGGAGGCCGGGTGGGGGGAGCGAGACAGAGACAAGCCGAGATGAAGACGGATGTGGCACGGATAGAAAGAAGGGCTCTGGAAGCCCCTTCCCAGGCACTACCCCCTTGAGCCCCACATAGCTGGGGGCTGACTGTGTGGGTCTGCAAAGCCCCTTAGTCAGCCTGGTGTTGTCTTGCTGGCCGCCATGCATGTGGTGCAAGCAAGACCTGTGACCTGGCTGGAGTCCTCTTCCTGCCTCACTGATCTGGGGAGAGGCCACACTGCCTCAGAAGCCTTGGCTTCCTTGCCCCTCACAAAGGTTCTCTGAGCTCTGAGGCCAATGCCTGTCAAGTAGTGACAGCAGGCATGGCTGGGGTGCTCGGCACCTGGTGACACATGCATGGGGCCCCACACTGTGCTCCCTGGGACGGTTCAGGAGATAGTTATCAGGGAGAGCGAGGCTGGAATTACACTTGCGTGCAAGGCTCAGTGCTACCACCTCCCAGCCGTGTGACTCTGGGAAAGTCATTTCCCTCTCACACTCACCCTCTTCTGTAAAATGAGGACGAGGACAAGGACACAGGCCACACAGGCCCGAGGCGAGGAGGGTGAGATGTACTGGGTTGGTACTCTCTGCATGCCAGGGACCATGGAGCTGCTAACAGCCTGGGAGGGCAGGAGCAGGAGGGGGTGGGGATGGGAACTCTTTCCTCAAGGGCCAGAGCTCTGCTGTGGTGCTGGCTCGGCCCTCCTCTCCTCCCTGCCCAATGCTTCAAGGTGGGCCAGGGAGAGAACAGCCAGCGTCCACAGCCAGCATACCCTGTGGACTTGGCCAAGCCCTGCCCTCCAGGGGGCATCCTAAGATCACCCGCCATCTGCTGCCTAGCACCCAGGTCTCTGCCCTCACCCCAGGCCCAGCACTTTCTCCAGTGCAGGCAATGCAGAGGAGAGAAAACAGGGAGAAATGAATCATCTGAAAACTGAAAAGCAGGAAGGGTGAGAGAGAACCCAGTGAGTCAGAGGGGCAGAGAAATGTGACTTGGGCAGTAGGAGGAAGCTGAGAGGGCCAGGCTGGGCCTTTCCAGGAGCTGGCTACATTCCGGCTGCCCACAGGCCTTTCCCTAGCCACAACTGCTCCAGCTATACCAGGTCTGAGGCAGGCCTCTGGCAGCTCAGGCTAAGGACTGAAGTCTCCCTTTCCCACCGCAAGGCTGGAATAAGGCCAGGGAAACCCTGTGGCCTGGGGGAGCTGCCATCTCTGCTCCGCCCTGCCTGCCCCCGAGGCTGGTCCCTTGGGCAACGGCCCTTCTGCCCACCCAGACTCACCTCCTGGGAGCTGTCTGCATTGCTCATTTGGTCGTCGATGTCAGGAACCACTTGCAAAGGCCCGCTCAGAGATGACAGGGACTGCCTGCAGGGGAGGCAGACAAGTCAGGCCGGCTCTAGGCAGCCTGAGAGGCCAGATCCCCACTGCTCCCAGACCTGGCTGGAGTCAGGCTGGGGTTAGGTTCCTGACCTCACTGATTCTGTTTCTCTGAGCCTCAATTTTCTCATCTGGTAAACAGGAAGAGTCTCTGCCTCATAGGCAGTGATGAGAACTCAGTGAGGCAATGCCCATCCATGGCTGGCATGAACTGGCACATGGGAGGATGCTCAGCCCTGAGAGCTGCCTGTACCTTCCTGATCTTGCCTATGAGGAGAATCCAGGAATATGACTTTGCCCCAGAGAAGCAGGCTGGACAGGACCGGTAGAGCCACTGAGAACCAGGCCTTGTGCCCAGCCCAGCACCTGTTCACTCACCATGATGCAATGATGGCACTGAGGGCCTCCAGGACATCAGTGGCGGCCAGGCGCTGCTGGGGGTCGAGGACAAGCAGCTTCCGAATGAGACACACAGTATTCTCAGAAACCCGCCCGTCCCTGATGCGGGGAAAGGAGATAGGGCTCAGCAGGTGGGTGGTGCTGGGTCTGTGACCAGGGCACCCAGGCTCACGTAACGGCTTCCCCGCCTCAAGTTCATGGAGCTGGCCCCTCCCCTCCCCTCCTGGCAGCACTCACTCAGGGATGGTGTACTCGGCAGCCTTGATCTTGCGGAAGAGCTCCTGTGGGATGCTGTCGTAGAAGGGGAACTGGCCATATAGCATGGTGAAGAGCACCACGCCCAGGGCCCACATGTCACTGGGCTTACCACGGTACGGCCGGCCTGGGGACAGACACACACATCACACTCAGCTTGCAGGTCGCAGCTCCTTGGCTTATTGGCTCTATGCCTGGAATCCCACCAGGGCCCCTCGACCTGCCACCCTTGCCCCCTCGCCTCCAGAACAGTCCTCCAGGCTTCTGCATAGACCACAGAATCAGGCTGGACTTCCAGGAGCCTGCTGTCTGGCCAGGGAGGGCAGTTGCTGAGCAGGTGGGTGGCCTGAACCCTCCCCTTGGGGCCAGGAAAGACAGGTCCTGCAGAGCCCCATTGCCTGGCAGAGCAGTTCACAAGTCGGGTCCTCATGTCTGTGAACTAGAGGACCAGTTCTGGACAATTGGCCACTCCCATCCCAGCACTATCCCCTTGCCCCACCTGCTTCCTTCATAGTACCGATCATAGCCTACAGGAACTCTTCCTGTCTGCCTGTGACTCCCCATGTGTGTGATGGGGATGACAGACCCTGGAGACAACCCTGAATCTTCCATGTTGGAGGGATAGGAGTTGGCATCAGCCCCAGTTCACCCCAGTTTGGCGAAGGGAAACAAACAGTCTGCTGTGACATAGGAGCATGGGCTGTAGCAGGAGGCAGCTCTGGGCTTGCTCCTCCATTTTCTGGTTTACTGTCAGCTATGATTGTGGACACAAGATGTCATCTCTACAAGCTTCGGGTTTCTCATCTGTAGAAAAGGGACTTGGGATATTTATCTCGCAGGGTAGCTGTGTGGCTTAAATGGCCAGTGCATGTCATATGCTCCGCACAGGGTCCAGTGCTTGGAAGCAGGATCAGCAGGTAAGAGCTTTATACTATATTTATTTTGTGTGCTAACTACCTCATTCCCACTAGAATATCAGCTCCATGGGGGCAGAGATATCATCTGCTTTGTCACTGCTGTCTCCAAAGTGCCTAGAATAAAGCCTGGGAGCTGGCAGGCTCTAGTAAATACCAGTAGAATGAACGAATGAACAAGTGGAGTAGTGTCTCTGAAGTACAGATCTCACTATGGCACACTCATTTAGGAATACTTGGTGGCCTCCTTTTGAGCATGAAGTAAAGGATGCTGTTTCTCAGCAGACCCACATCAGGCCTGGCCTGGCCCTGCCCACCTCTCTGGGTTCCCCTTGAACCAGGCTCACTTTCTGAGCAGCCTGCAGGTCCTCCCACATGTTGTGCTGCCTCTGGGTGCCTCAGCCTCAGTCTAGGCACACACACACCCCCCGAGGGAATTCCTAGCTCTCTTTCAGATTACAGCTCAACCATCACCTCCTTTGGGAAGTCCTCCAAGCAGCCTTCAGAAGTCATGTTCCTTTCCTCCCCAGTGCTAACCTCAGAGAGTAATTGAACACACATTATTGTGACCATTACGCCTTCCTCCTCCACTAGACCAAACATTTCGTATGGGGAGGAACAGTACTGGTTTGGGCCACCTGTGAAGCCCTAGTACCTAGCTCTGGGCCTGGCCATCGACACGATTTGTTGGATGGATGGACTGTTCATAGCCTGCCAGCGTAAGGCCTGAGGCCCATCTGGCACATGCACGTACCGCTGAGCACGTCAGGACTGATGTAGGCAGGGCTCCCCCTCTGGTCCTTCAGCAGGTCCCCCTCGCTCACCAGATGCTTCCCGAGGCAGAAGTTGGTGATGGTGATTCGATGCGTCCTGGGAGTAGCAGGCAGAGAGGTGAACAAACCTTGGTGTTTACAGTACCAGGCACAAAATGCCGCAGGGCACACCGCTAGGCCAACCCCAATCCCGAACAAATGGAGCTGGGCTTCTCTCAAGGGGTGAAGCAGCTGGCCCATCCCTCATCCAGGGAGCAGAGGAATTGGGCCCACAGCCTTTTTTGGCCAACTGCTGAGCTGTTCAATCAGGGATCTGTACTACTCCCAATCACCCGAGTGCTTTGATGGAGACTCAGGGGTATAGTCTAGGGCTTAGGACAACTTTCAGAGACATCCCCAATGGCCTCACAGGGTATTTGGGGGTGACCTACAGGTTTAGTCCAGATCCTTCATTCACACACAAGGAAAAGGAAGTCCAGCAGGTGAGTGACTAAACCACTCTCGGTTGGGCATGGTGGCTCATGCCTATAATCCCAGCACTTTGGGAGGCCGAGGTGAGAGGATTGCCTGAGCCCACGGGTTCAAGACCAGCCTGGACAACTTGGTGAGACCTCATCTCTACAGTAAATAAAAAAAAAAAAATAGCTGGGCATGGTGGTGCGTGCCTGTAGCTCTAGCTACTTGGAAGGCTGAGGCAGAAGGATCACCTGAGTCCAGCAGGTAGAGGCTGAAGTGGCCGTGAGAGTGCCATTGCACTCTAACCTAGGCAACAGTGAGATTCCAACTCAAAAAAATAAAAAATAAAACACCCTCACCCCACACTGTAAGGTTACCCGAGCCTCCTCTGCACCACATGTGCGTCACTTCCCTGCTCACTTAGTCTCCTAACCCCTGCAGAGGAGACTCGAAGCAGCCAAGAGTGCCTCCTGGAAGGGAGGGAATCCAGTATAGCAGAGCCCACAGGGTGGCACTGGGGCCTGCTGGGGTCCTGGTCCTGGGGCTGTAATGTTCACATGCCTGGTGGAATATGGAAGCTGGTTCTGCGCTGCATCCAGGTGGAGTCAAGGCTCCTGCAGATGGCACAGCCCATCCTTTCCGAGAGCCCTGGGTCTCTCCAAGGAGCCCACACCCTGTCAGTCACAGCAGACACTGAGAGGAGTGAGTCTGAGTCAACCCAGCACTTCCCTGAGCCCGACAGTCCCCGGAGGCCGGTGAGGGTGGAGGGGAGGATGGCAGCACAGTTGTCACAGGCAAGAGCAGCAGTAAACCCAAACTTCGTCATCCTCTGCCTTTCCAAAACCTACTACAGACCAGAGCATGCCTGGGACATCTCGACAGCGAGAGGATGGCTAGGATCACTTCCACAATGCCAACAGTGTCACCTCTGTCAGCAAGTGGAACCAGTGGGTGGCACAAGACCCCTGCTCTTCTGACCAAACAGAACCTAGCCATCCTCCCCTTTGTATGGCAGGGGTACACATGCTGGTGCAGGTGCAGGTGCAGGGGCTGCGGGGTGGCAAGGAGCCCAACTGCTGAGGAACAGCCCATCTGTGGCTGTGACCAGGGCTGCGGTGGCCACATGGAGCAGGGACCTACAGCCTGACTTCTCACTGCACTTGAGGCAACGGGACACACGGCTCACTGGGGAGAGATGTGTGCTGTACACATTTCCTCACAGTTTCTGTGCAGGAAAGAAATTCTGTTGAGGGGGAAGCAGGAAGTAGTTGTCCCAGCATGCGTTCACTGGCCCTTCTCTAGGAATTCAGCTTGTTCAGAGAGCAGCACACTTGTGCACTGAGGTCCAGGAAGGAGACCACTGGAAGGAAGACGGCCCCAGGAAGAAGACATGGCCTTGAGGAGTCCATGAGGTGGGAGAGTGTCACATACTTGGAGGAACTAAGAGGAGAATGAGAGGTGATGGCGAGAACTAAAGCCATGCTTCCCTCATGCCAGGGCTGTTCCAAGCACTTCGTGGGCATGAACCCGCTTATCCTACATAATCAACCTCTTGGGAGGGAGACATTATTCTCCTCATTTTACAGGATGGAAAACCGAGGCACAGAGACGATAACTCACATAACTGGGAAGCAGCTGAGCAGCAGTCTGGCCCCACAGTCTGTGCTCTTCCCCTGCACTCCTATGCTGGGTGAGGCCTTCTGGAAGCCAGTGCTTCAGCACAGGAGGGGAAGTGGACCACTCACTAGCTTGGGCAGATCATGTTACCCAAGGAATCGAGGAGAAATCCACTTGAGCTTCCTGGGTGTGAGTGAAGCCCTCAGGCAGAGCTGCACACACAGAAGGCCCTGATGAAGAACTGTCAGGTGAGAAAGGTTCCCAGGCCTCACCACACCCCAGCGGTGTTTGGGGTAGATTCTGCGAGTCCCACTATGAGCACAGAGGGGATGGGCACTGACAACACTCCCAGAGATGGCTGAAGGAGGAAGGCAGGAGCTGAGCCCCAACCCAGAGACATGAGGCTCAGCAAGCCATCTGCGCATGACTTCTCCATGTGGGACCTGCCCCCAGAGGCATTGGAACCTTGGATGTGTTTACCATGCAACTCTCAGGTCGAGGCCCAGACCCGCCACATCAGATGAAGCGGGGATTGGAGCCAGCCACAGGCCCTGGAATTTAGGCCCATGTGCCAGAGGAGACGTTTCTTTTCTCTGGGAAGGAGCAGCAGGGGGCTGGGTCTCCATTGCCCCAAGGCCCCCAGGACCACTTACTACAACTAGAGCTGGGGCCTACTGAGACCACAAGGCCAACCCTGCCATCTAGGGGGTTCCTGGGCAAGGCTAGAAAACAGAGCTTTGAGCAGTCCACCCTCCCCTTCTCTCCAGAAAAGCTGTGGGAGTACCACTGGGATCCCTTGCAAAAGCTCAGCAGGAAGCACCTCCAGAGAACAGTCTCTCTGCCCTTGGGGGAGCAGGCCTGTCTTTTCAGGGCTGACACTGCCTAGCTGGGTCAGGTACTGGCCAGGCCACACTGTGACCTGCACACAGAGCACACTGAAGTCACAGGAATGAGATGGGGTGAGGAGCTGGTTGGCTCTAAACACTTCAAACACCTGCAGTGTGTCTGGACGCTTCCGGTATTTTCCATCTGGAGCAGTAGGTAGAGAAGGGAGTCTGGTCCAAGTCCAGGTCGACTCCCAGGAGGCCCTCAGCTTGAGCGGGGTACTCCTGCATGCTTTGGGGAGGTCCTGGCAGACAGGCAGGGCAGCCAAGCTGGGGAACTCTTGACATATACCAAGCTCTGGCGATACCAGGAACTCTGGAGTCCACCTGTGGGCACCACTTTTATCCCGTGTCATCTTTGTTCTGACATCCTTCAGCTGACAGCACCGAAGCAAGTGCTTACTGAACACTCAGTCAGTGCAGGCCTGAGTGGACTGTCTCCATTCACTACTTCCTATGAGGGAGGCCTCACGGCCCTGCTTCAGGTGATGAAATGGAGTCACAGGGAAGTGAAGGGACTTTTACAAGGTCACATGGCTCGTGGGCAGTGGCGAGGATCCAAGCCCAGGTCTGTCAGAGACCAGAGCCTGCCCTCAGCACTGACAGCTGCCACGTGCCCAGACATGCTCCCGGGCAGGACCCAGCCCCCGACTGATTTTTCCTTCAGTCCTCAAAGCCAATTCATTTGTCTTGTACTTCAGACTCTGCCATGACCTAGACCACCAAAGACACCCCTTGAGAGGCGCAGGGCAGTACAGCTTTGGGTCCTAATCCCTTCTAGGAAGTTCATAACATGGACAAAAGGAAGTGCCGCAGAAAGGACCCTGACACCATACCTGAGGGTGGGACAAGGAGGAAGGAGGGACAGGCCTCTCTAAGAGGATGACAGGAAGGGAAGCTCCAGGGACCTCAGGCTGCCTCTCACGAGAATGAAGTCTCAGAAGCACGGGGGTGTGTGGCTGACAGTGGATTTCCCCAGGAGCTGCGTCCAAGAGGCTCCGAGAACCCTTCAGCTATCTTGGGGAATTCTGCTGGCAAAGGGCTTGGTGTAAAACAAAGGCCAGTCTGTCCCCTGCATTCCAAACGGAAACGCTGACTCTAGTGCCCATGCAGACCCACCCAGTCAGCTGCTACAGAAATCTGACCAGTGGCTTGCAGGGTGGCAAAAGTCCAGAGTGCAGGCAAAGGGTCTCAGTGAAGGGTCACATGCACGTCAAGAAGTGAACTACTCCCATATTATCACCCTGAGTGTGGGACTACTTAGGTCTCTTGTCTGGAAGGTTCCCACAGAACAAAAGCACCTTGTGTCTTCTCCCTCATCAGCACTGGCTGCTGCAGCTGCGAATGCATCCTGCAGGTCTCTGAGGTTCGATGTACTGGGAGGAGGAAAGCTCAGGGGAGAGGACTCATGGGAGAGTGTGGTGGGCTCAGAAGTCGGAGTCTTGGGTTCTAATACCAGCTGTGCCACTTTCTTGCTATGTGAATCTCTTGATAAACCTCAATTTCCTCATCTGTAAAACAGGCAAATCCTACCACCACACTCCCAGGACTGGACTAGGATTCAACAAGGTAAGATAATCCCAGAGGGCACCTGGCAAATAGTAGTAGCTGGTACTATTCTTTTTTTTTTTTTTTTTTTTGAGTTGGTGTCTCACTCCATCACCCAGGCTGGAGTGCAGTGGCATGCTCACGGCCACTTCAGCATTGACCTGCTGGGCTCCGGTGATCCTTCCGCCTCAGCCTTCCAAGTAGCTGGAACTACAAGTGCATGCTAACACGCCCAACTAATTTTTGAGTTATTGTAGAGACAAGGTTTCTCCAAGTTGCCCAGGCTGGTCTAGAACCCGCAAGCTCAGCAATCTACTCGCCTCGGCCTCCCAAAGTGCTGGGATTACAGGCTGAGCCATCGAGCCCAGCCTGGTACTATCCTTTTATCCTCTGATGGTTGGCACATCTGGCAGGAAAGACTCTGTCTTATAGAGGTGGTGGGTGAGAAGTGCCACTATGTAACAACAGGCCCTGAGCACACATGACCCTGTGGTTGAGTTTTCAACTCAACTTTGCTGGCAGGACTTGCCCCCCCTCTGTCATGGCACCAGGCAGGTGGGGCTGGAGGACAGTGTGGCTAAGGCTTGGCAGGGTTGAGAGGCAGGGCTGAGGCTCCACAGGGCTGAGGGGTAAGGCTAAGTGGCAGGACTGAGGCTCCACAGGGATGAGTGGCAGGGCTAAGGCTCCTCAGGGCTGAGCAGCAGGCCCACTTGGCCTGTGTTACTCCACACTGAGGCTCCTGGAGTCTCTCCACAGGAAACGACACGGTCAGCTCCGAGGCCTCCTGAGGCTTGGCAACGCTCCTCTGCCCTGCCACCACCGCCCAAGGCGGCTGGGAGGCATACAGCTCCCTGGGAGTCCCAGACCCCCCAGTCTGGTCCTGACAGGAGGGAGCGAGGGCAGTGAGGGATGGAGGGAAGGCATGTGCGTCAGCAGGGTCGGCTCTGAGTGAGTCACACTTTAGCTATGGCCCTTTGGGTTGCCACAGTGTTTTTCTCCTCTTCTAGGAACTTGGTATGCAGCCTGCCTATCCAAAAAGGAGGAGGAAGGAGAAAGGGCCCACAGCAAACCTCACATGACCCCAGAAGAGGATTTCAGATTTCAACCTTTTCTCTCCACAGCAGGGTGACTCTGTCATTGCAACTGCCTTGTAAACACTCCTCCCCATTTGCTCCCTGTTCTGCTGCCCAGGAGCAGATGAAGGCCCCACTTGCCTGCCCATCGCTCCAGCTGGAGCTGGGGCTTGGCATGGGCATGAAGGGGCTGGAGCTCCTTCAGGCTGACCCAGGCCTGAGCCAGGTGACAGTGGGGCCCAAGAGCAGAGGGTGTATCTGAGGACACACAAGGAGCAGTGTGGGCCTCTCTGTTCACACTGCCCTGCCTACACTTCTGTAGTGCCGAGGCCTTAAGTGAAAGGCAGCCAGAACCTCTGCCCAAGACACAAAATGGGGGATTATCAGATTAAGGACATACACACAGCAGAACTACTATAGCTACACAGGCATACTCAAGAGAGGTGCAACTCCCAACTATATTCCCAGAACCCAGGGGTCCAGGAGAAGTGAGAGTCAGAAGCAAACCCACCAGTGACCCAAAGAGGCCAGACATGCTGGTGCAGTTAATAGGCAGGAACCCCCAATTGTGTGTTCCCATGACAACCTCAGATGGGGGTTCAGAGCCGATGAATGGCTGCTGTGGAAGGGGGTGCTCTCTAGTCCAGTCACGTGGGCTCTGCAGTTAGATGGACTCAGGTGCTCAAAAAATACTCTCCCCCTTTGTGAATAGGGGCCTGCAGTCCACTGCAGGGTGGGACTAGCCCAAGGTCCCACAGAGGGCTGAGGCAAGGCAGGATCCATTCTCCTAAGACAATACACTCTCCATAGCTCAGGGCTGGGGTGGCCAATCTTCTCAACACCTGCCCACCTCTCAGAGTTCAGGGCTGTTGCTGGGGGACCATTGGGCCCTCGCAGGGGCATCTTCACTTGCCATTCCACATGCAGCAGACCTCATCTCCAGAGGAAAGTGAGCACCCAGATCCCATTCTCCTGGCTCTCTGCCACAGGGCCCTCCAGTCCCTGGTTAGATTAGCCTTTGTGATGGGCTGAACCATCTTAGGCAGTTTCATGCCCACTTATTTGTAGCTCAGGCCAATCTTTCCAGGGAAGTAGAATCGCCTTAACTTTCACAGACAAGGAAATGGAAGCTCAGGGAAGCACGTGGTACCTCAAAGCATGAATTCAATCAGTGAGTACACAACCAAACACACCCTCATGGATTTCAAAATAATTAAGAGGTAGCACTGGGGTGTGGACCCTAATTCATTCCCTTAGTCAGGCCGGTAGTCAAGTGGCCCCTGAAGTTCCTGTCTCCTTCCCTCCTTCCTGCACAACATGACCAGCTAGGCTCCCATCGCTTCACACTCTCAGCCTGCAGATCCCAACTCATCCTTCATAAATCGACTCAGACGACAGGTACTGGCCTTCCTTGCGCCCCTAGTCCTCTGTACATGTGTCACCCATATGTGGCATCTGTCTTCCAGGCAGCATCCTGTCAGACAGTGAGTTTCTGTGTGTAGCCCCAGCAGGAGGTGATGCTGTCAGGACAAAGTCATTCAGGTGCACAGGTCCTCTTGATGGCATCCCTGGCTGGAGCTGTGAGGACTGGTGACCCCACCCCCTCCCAACAGGCCCACCTCCCTGCAGCTGCTTTTCCTCTGACCACCATGGTTCTGGTCACCTTATAGGACAGCGGGCCTAAAGCCCCTCCTGGCCTGGCCTGGGCTGACCACATCATGGAATGAATCACCCACTATACCACTTCTGCCGTAAGATGTGTGCTGCCTGCTATTTGCAAGCCCTCCAACACACTCAACACCTGCACATGAGAGAGGTGAAGCAGAGGCTCTGGAAGAGCAGGGGAAATGAGGTGTGCTCTTCCCAGCCATGCATTTCAAGAACTGTGGTGGCTCACAGAGCCACCCCACCTCCTGCTGGTCCTAGGCCCTTCCATCATTGGTGTCCCTCTACCACTGCTCTGGATCACTCCAAAGGAGTCTGTCGAGGTGGGGTGACAGCCTGAGACAGGGGCCTTGAGTGATCTCCCCCTGTAGTTGTTTCACTGAGGATGTTGAGGTGAGCTGCCCAGACCCCCTCCAAGTCCAAGGCATGCTCTCTCTGCTGCTAGAGTGCTGGCTATACCTCACAAGCAGCCATTCACAGCTGCATCCCTGTTAGCCAAAAGAAGCAGTCTTGCGTGAGGCGATGCCCCTCTCCAGGGACAGCCTGCAGTCAGTGATGGGGCTCTTGAGCTTTTCCGGCTAAGGCCCTGCTGTGACTTCACTGTAGTTCGGCTTCTCCTCTGCCCAATTCTGCCCCCTTCACCTCAAGAGCACTCCCTAGTAAACCTCCTGATGCAAACCTCAGGGTCTGTGTCCTGAGGAGTCACCTACAGCAGGGTCCCTTCTGCTTCTTCCTCCACCCATTTATCCACTTTTTTTTTTTTTTTTTAAGTTGGAGTCTCATTCTGTTGCCTAGGCTGGAGGGCAGTGGCACACTCCTGGTCACCGCAGTCTTGACCTGCTGGGCTCAGGTGATCCTTCCACCTCAGCCTTCCAATTAGCTGGAACTATAGGCACGTGTCACCACACCCGACTAATTTTTTGATTTACTGTAGAGATGAGGTCTCGCCAGGTTGCCCAGGCTGGTCTTGAACCCGTGGGCTCAGGCAATCCTCTCACCTCGGCCTCCCAAAGTGCTGAGATTATAGGCGTGAACCACCACACCTGGCCCATTCATCCATTTTTATAGCCCCTCCTGGTCTGGCCTGGGCTGGCCACATCACAGAATGAATCACCCACTATGGAATGAGCACCCATCAGTCATGACAAATGAACGGACAGGGGGATGTCTAAAATTCTTCCCAGAGCTCCCTTTCTGCAGCTCTAAAACTTCCAGTCTCTCATGTACAATATTTCCATGTGGCAAGAGATAGAATCCCCCATGAGACACTGCAGAGCACAGGGTAGCTGGACATGCGGCCTGTCCCAAGTCCAGAATAACGGCATGAAAGAAAAATGCGAAGCTCACCTTTTGTTGAGCACCATGTTTCCCAGCTTCAGGTCTCTGTGCACGATGTTTTTCTGGAAAACAACAGGCATACAGTTTGTACCACAAATTTGAGAGGTGGGGCCAGGGTCCACTCTGTAAGATGTAGGCTCTCCAGGTATTCAGGAAGGCAGGAAAAACTACAATGTGGCTCGGACCACAGGCAGATGAGGACAATCCCAAGACCTCACTAACCATGGGTGTGAGTGGGGTAAGATGTGCACCTAGTCGGTGTATGCCACACCCAGAGCAGCTTCCTCAGCTCTCGCCCCTCGGGGCAACACTAGTGGGGAAAGCAACTTGCTTCTTCCCCTCCATCAGACATCTACCATGGATGGGGTGGGATCAGAAATGAACTGTCATGGTTTAGGGACTAAGCACTGCAGGCTCAGTCCACAGAAGTGGTGCGTCTGGAAGAGGTTCAGGCTTTCCTACCCTTTGCCTTGGGGTACCTGACACCCCCAATCCTACAATAAGCTCAGATGGGTGGTGGCCACCTGGGTGGCTATCTTGCTGTCGTCACTGAAGCCAGGAAATCATAGCTCCAGAGGACTCTGCTGGGCCATGGGTCAGCCTTCAATGGAAGGTTGGCTGTGGTCTGTGCCTCACCAGGTACACCTGCCCTTCAGCCACTCTCCTTCTGGACACTGCAGCTGCAAAGCACAGCTAGCTGCTTTCTCTCTTGAACTTCTACCAGCAGTGGCAAGAAGGGTGGCTTTCTGTGGTCCAGTGATGTGGCAGGGGGGCGTGGCCTCACCTGGTGCAGGGCCTCCACCACACGAACCACATCATAGAAGATGACCACGGTCTCCCGCTCGCTGAGCCTCTTCTCCTTGATGACGTAGTGCTGCAGGTTGATGAGGTCGGCAGTCTTGTCGCTGAAGTCGTGTGCACAGAGGCAGTCCAGGACAAGGCAGATGCGTTTCTTCATCTTCTTAACCATTCGGCTGGATTCTGTGTCCTCAACAATCTCACAGGTGCGGTCCTGGGAGACAAGGGAGCAGAGCAGGGCTTGGCTGGGGACCCAGTAAGTCCTGACCTAGATTTGGAACTCTTATCTGGAACAGGACACTCAAACCAGTGGGAGCCTGGAATAAACCTACATGTGTGGTGGTGGAGGACAAGCCTGGGCCCAGCAGGGGGCTGAGGTTAGAACACCTCAGGTTAAGGCTTAATGCTCTGTTAGTAATACAAAGGCTTCAGACCGGAGCTGGGCATTTAAAGCCCAAGCTAGCCCAGTGTACAAGCCGCAAACCCGGGGCCTGGGGCCCCCTCCCTGCCATGGCACTCAGATTTCAGCAATCACCAACAGAACTTCCTTCTAGCATCTAAGATGGTGGAAGTTCAAGAGAGGTCAGTCTCAGCAGGCTCCAGAGGTCACACAGTGCTGTGCATGTCCAGGACCACAGTTTTCTCCATGGATGCAGTACATAAGAGCACGACTCTGACCTCGGATGGCTGTGTCCAGGCAACAGTCCCATCCATTCTTGGCAGCAAGAGATTTGCTTAACCTCCCCAGGGCTCCAGTTCCTTATCTGTAAAGGAAACTACCAATTCCTCCCACATAGGCTGTAGGAATAAAATCAGACCACCCATGTTCACTGCTTAGGTCCTGCACAGGCAGGACTCAGCCAGTGGGTACTGCCACCAACACTGACTGCAAGCTCCAGGCCCATTTTCCTTGCTGAAAGGTGTTTCAAGTGAGACAAAAAAATAGGAACAACCTGGAGACTTTTGTCCCACCAGCCTGAGGAAGTCCTTGGTGTCATCCCCATTAGACCAGCTGTCCCCTTTGGGAAATCCTGAGGATGAGATACCCACACTTCTCCTAAGAGCAGAATCACGCCTCTTGCTTGCTCCTCCCAGGGCCCAGAACAGTGTCTGGTGCACAGATGGTATGCCAGAAACACTTTTCACCAGGAAGTCTTGTCCAAAATGAGGCGAACCAAGGCCAAGCTTCTGAAGGTATCAGAGACAGAATACTACGAAGTCACAATCACCCTCAATTTGATTTCCTGTTTCAGAGAATCACTCTGATTTTCAGAGTTGCCTAATGATACTCTGAGTTGTCTTTAACTGCAAACCTAAGGATCAAGATCTTGGCAGGGTATGTACATGGGGTGGGAGGCATTTTCCATTTGTTTTATTTCAGGAAATCAAGTTGACAAGGAGTTTTCACTGCCTGAAATCCAAAGGTGGGGAGAACGGCCCCGCAGCAGCTCCATGCTTCACACTGGTGCATCTCCCAGCAGCCATACAACGGCAGTGCCATCGTCATCATCCCATTTTACAGATGGAGAATCTGAGGCTTAGAGACCTGACGTGACCCGCCCGAGGTCACACTGCCTGAATCCAGGACTGTCAGCATGGAAGCCTGAGTGCTCCCTCTATCACTCTGCTGCCTCTCATACAGCAGGCCCGTCTTAGCAAGAGGAGAGGGGCTGAGGAGAAGAGAGGCTGCACCCAGGCCACAGCAGGAGGGCTCCAGTCATTCTGAACCAGACTCTTCATTTCTAGAGAAACAACTGCAGTTCTGCCCCAAGGATGGCTCTTTTCATGGTATGAGCTCTGATCAGTATCTTTCCTAAGACACTGGAACGTCCGAGTAAGGATGCTCAGGGGCATTTGCCGAACAAGCTGAAATGCCTGCGTAGACACGACAGTCGGTCCCCAAAACAATTGTGGAGACACTGCAGAGCACAGGGTAGCTGTGGCCCCAAATACTGATTCTTCCTCATCACCTTCCTTTCCATGCCAGCCTGGCCAGTGCCTGACAACGCAACTGAAAAGGGCCCGGGTATCTTTAAATGACTTCCTGCTTTCTTCTTTTCTCGGAAAAGCGGCTCTTCAAAGAAAGCTAGCTGCTCTAAGAAGCAATTCCTGCTAGGCTGTTACCATCACCACAGGAGCACAGCCAGAGTGGCCCTGGCCTGACCTCCTGCTCCCCCCCACCGGCCCCAGGAAGCCTGATGTGCTCGTGCTCAGCATGGCAGGGACACAGCGAGGATGGGGGCAGTGTGAAGGACGATGTATGTCATGAGCTGCTCACAGTATATCTGTGGCCCCAGCAAGAGCCAGTCCCAAGCCAGCTGGTGGGGGGGGTTGGAGGGTAGGCTACTCACCTGGAAGAGGCCATGGTGGTGAACCACGCCGTCCTGCATGTGGAGGAGGGAGAGCAGCGAGTACTCAGTGTGCAGCAGCATCTTGCCTTGCCGTTCCTCCTGGCTCTCTATGCCTTGGTCTCCCCTCTCCTCCAGGGTCAGGATCTTCAGGAAAGCAAAACCAGAACACCTCACTTTACACAGCAGAACCACGAGAACAGGGGAAGCAGGGGGCTTTCTACCACATAACATGTGTGCACCACACACAAACACACCAAACAAAACAGTGTTTCTCCATGCGATGGCAATGTAATTTATACACAGACAAAGCTCTTTAAATTAGGAGCTGTTGTGAGACAGTGTGAACTTGACTGCTTCACAGGAAGAAATAGGTGGTGCAGGTGTGAAGGAAGAGGAGGGAATAGTGGGCTAGCAAGAGGACCCATCCCTGGCAACCCCAATCCCATATTTCACTCACCTTCAGCTGGTAGAAGTCATCTGTGCCATCTTTCCTTGCCAAACACTGCACAATGCTCGGCACCGGTGAGTTGCCCAGACGGGGACCTATGGCACAGAGGGCCGTGGGCTTACTTCTCAGAAGCCCTGGCTGTCATGGCACCAGGGCACCACATAGTCTTCAGACCGGGTCTTCTGTTCAGGAGGGCACCACAGCTCATGCCCAGAGTCTCCCCTCCAAAACTAGAGAGGGGCATGTGTGCCTCTGGCCAAGACACAATCAGCCTTGTAGGCACATTTCTCAACCCATGGTATATGCTGGGCTCCCTAGAGGACATCTGTTAAAAAGGATCTGGAGCCAGGCTCGGTGGCTCAGGCTGTAATCCCACGCTTTGGGAGGCTGAGGTGAGTGAATTGCCTGAGCCCACGGGTTCGAGACCTGCCTGGGCAGCTTGGCGAGACCTCATCTCTACAATAAATAAATAAAAAAATTAACCAGGTGTGGTAGCGCGCGCCTGTAGTTCCAGCTACTTGGAAGGATGAGGCGAAAGGATCACCGGAGCCCAACAGGTAGAGGCTGCAGTGGCTGGGAGCGGCCACTGCACTCCAGTCTGAGCGACAGAGTGAGACTCCAACTCAAAAAAAAACAAAAAAAGGATCTGGAAGTTACAGCTTCAACAGGTTCCCCAGGTGACTCCAATATGGCCACCCAGTCCTTGTCCAAGTGCTAGCCCCAGGAACCTTTCATACTCCTGGAGATGCACAGTGCTCACTGTCCTGTGACAATACCTTGCCTGAGCTTCTAGAGCAGAACTCAGATTCTGCCCCAGTGCCACCACTCTGCGAAAAGCCCTTAACAAAGCTCTGCTGTTCTTAAATCCCACCCAACTCCTTTCTTTGGCCTCTAAGGCCTTGCGGGATTTGGTTTCTGCCCAACTTTCTAACTGGGCATATCCTCTCCTCTGCTCCCACCAGCTATATAGCAATGGAAGTGGGTTCCTAATTCCTAACACGGTAAGCTCCTTCCTGCCTCTGGGCCTTTGCACTTGCCATTTCTTCTGTCTGAAAGGCTTTCCCCTGCATTTTTCATAGCTGCTCCTTTTTGTCAGGTGTCACTTCCTCTTAGAGGCCTCTCTTGTCTACACTACCTGTAGGCCCTTCTCATCTCACAGCATCTTGTTAACCTCCTTCTTGTACCACTAGTGACAATCTGGTGTGTTGTTCACTCTCTGCTTCTTCTAATGAGGATGTTCAGTTCTGTGACGGCAGGAACTTGTCTGTCTCACTGCTGCATCTCTGGCAAACAGCATAGGCCTGGCACTTGGAAGGCACCATGAACTATCTGCTGAATAATGGAGCTGGAACTATTCTGTGCAAGTCCAAAATGCTGCTCCAAGGCAAAACTCATACTCAGTCTCTGGCTGTGGTCCTTGGAGCCCACATCACCTGCAGTTCTGACCAGAAGCAACCTGGACTCCTAGCCCTTACACTTCACACAGAAAGCCTGCTGCTCCTCTGACAACTGGGGAGACCCACTCTACAGGACGTCTGTGCCAATTTGAAGTCTGTTGGGTTCTACAAAATGCCTGGTGAAATTAAGCAGGCCACCCAAGAATGGTCAAAGCAGTGCCTTGGGTGAGGAGTCTTGGATTCTAACGCAGCTGTGTGCTTCCCATGGGAACATCAGCACCCTGGGGGCACACATACACTTCTCTGGAGGAAGAGACAGAGTCTAGTTATCAGCTGGGACTGACCTAAGACTAGTGTGGCAACGACAAAACTGACATCCCTTGGTACAGAGTGACCTAAGGCTTGGACCTTCCAGTGATACAAATATACCTCTCTGTATATTTGTGAAACTAGAGTACAGGCCGAGGGCTTGGCAGGACCCCATACCACCTCTGGATGTCTGGATTTCTGCAGGCCAGACCATGCGAGTTAATGTGCCCTGCCCCTATCCCTGCCCCTAGCATACCCACTTGACAGTGAGAAGCTTACCGAGGATGAATGGTCCAGCTCTCTTTGCATTATTTCCGGAAATCCCACTTCCTAGAGCCTTTGCCCTGGCCGACGTTTCCCCAGCTCCTCTGTCTGATGCTCTCCGCTTCATTCTCAGCTCTAGACAAGACAGAAGAGATCCCTTCTCACTGAGTAAGCCAGCGAGTTTCCTCATGCTCACCCAGCCTGCAAGTCTTTGACTTGAGATGCGTCACACAGCAGCTGAGGCTATTCCGCTGTAACTGCCACCTCCTCCCGAGGTCCCCAGTGATGAAGAACCTGGGTACTTTGCTTGGGATTAATTAGGCTTTAAAAGTGATGCACAGGTCAGAAACGGCAGTACATACAGGCCAGAGAGGTGGAAGCCAGTATGCTCCCACAAAGGGATAGATTCAGAAAGGGGAAAACTCGCCTTTGTGCAGATGCTAAAGTCAAACAGAGCCCCAAGAGACCACCAAAGAGGAGAGTGGCCCATCCAACTGAGCTGAGCCGCTCTCTTAAGCAACTGTTGCCAAAGTGAGGTCTTCCCAGACACCTGTGGCCAAATGACCTGAAGTGCCCATTCCTGAGCCATTTCTGCAATGGCCTTTGGGATGGGATGAGGCTTTTTAAGCCCATGAAGTTTGAGGGTGGTAGAGGAACACTTCTCCTAAATTCACATTTTTCTTTAATGATTATGATTTTTTTGAGTCAGAGTCTCACTCTGTTTACCCAGTCTGGAATGCAATGGCACACTCATGGTTACCACAGCCTCAACCAGTTGGGCTCAGGTGATTCCCGCCCCCCCCCAAAGTGCTGGAATTACAGGTGTGAGCCATAGTGCCCAGTCCTTTCATTATTTTTAAGGAAAAAAAAAGTACTGTGCATTTAAGAGTCAGTTAAAAGACACTACTGAAGTTTACTGAGCACTGTCACAAGCAACAAACTCCAAGTCATTTGTGTTGCTGGAGTGTCTAATGTAAGGCAGGCAGTGACAAGAGGTGGCCCAGAGGTGGTGGCCTGACAACCACCTTAGGAGTGTAACTGTTACACTTCCGCAAAGAGCTCAGAAACAGAACCCACCTTCTCCTGTCACTCTCTTCTTTATACCAAAGTAACTGGCGTTCCCTGGAGAAATGTTAGAAAAAACAGACATGCAGAAATAAGAAAATAAGGTACCATGATCTCACCTCCCAGATGTGATTGCCGTTAACATTTAAACAGATTTTTCCCATGTATATATTTATGTGTGAATGTGCGTATATAAAATTATTACAAGAATTTCTCAAGCTTCCTTCTCTTCCACCTGAGATACGTTATAAGTGTGAATTTTTTTTTTTTTGAGTTGGAGTCTCAGGCTGGAGTGCAGTGGCACACTCAAGCCACCACAGCCTCAACCTGCTGGGCTCAGGTGATCCTTCTACTCAGCCTTCCAAGTAGCTGGAACTACAGGAATGAACCACCACACACAGCTGATTTTTTGATATATTGTAGAGACGAGGTCTCACCAAGTTGCCCAGGGTGGTCTTGAATCCCTGGATTTAAGCAATCCTCTCACCTCGGTCTTCCAAAGTGCTGGGATTACAGGCTTGAGCCGTCACGCAGGTCTATAAGGGTGAATTTTATAGTAAACAGCCCTGCATGACAATATTCTTCTTTGGCATCACTTGAGATAGCTACAGTTCCCTTGCCTTCTATTTAAAAAGAATGAACAGTCATGCACACACAAGTATACGTCTTGTCATACTTGTCTCTCTCCCTCACAATAAATTCCAAGAAGTAGAACTGCAGAGTCAACTTGGGGTGCATGTTTTTAAGGGTGCTTGAGATACACTACCTGCTCCCAGGATGTCTGTGCCAATTTATAGTCCCATCAGCAGTGTAGGAGAGTGAGTCCCAGAAGCTGCGCTAAGACTATTTCCTTACTCTTATAAATGGCCAATTTGGCTGGACACAGTGGCTCATGCTTGTAATCCCAGCTCTTTGGGAGGTCGAGGTAGGAGGACTGCTTGAGCCCAGGAGTTCGAGACCAACCTGGGCAACATAGTGAGACCTCATCTCTGAAAAAAAAAATAAAAAATTTAGCCAGGCATGGTGACATGTACCTGTATTCCCAGCTACTCAGAAGGCTGAGGAAGGAGTTCGAGATTGTGGTGAGCCATGATTATGTCACTGTACTCTAGCCTAGGCAACAGAGTGAGACTCCGACTCAAAAAAATAGATAGCCGGCTGGGTTCAGTGGCCCAGCGCTTTGGGAGGCCGAGGAGAGTGGATTGCCTGAGCCTGCGGGTTTGAGACCCGCCTGGGCAAATTGGCGAGACCTCATCTCTACAATAAATCAAAAATCAGCCGGGCGTGGTAGCGCACGTCTGTAGTTCCAGCTACTTGGAAGGCTGAGGTGGAAGGATCGCCGGAGCCCAGCAGGTCGAGGCTGTAGTGGCCAGGAGCGGCCACTGCACTCCAGTCTGAGTGACAGAGTGAGACTCCAACCCAATTTGATGGGTAACAAAAAACATATCATTTAAAAATTCATAATTCTTTAATTATTTTTGAAATTGAATTTCTTTTATATGTTTACTGATTGTGTTATTTCTTTTATGAATTTTCTTTATATTCTTTTTCTACTTTATGTGTATATTACTGTTATTGACTTTTAGGAGCTCTTTATATATTAAGGATATAGCTGTCATAGGATACAGTTTTCCTCACATACTATTGTTTTGGCCCTTCTCTTAAATCCTAGGGGACTGATTACATGCAATGAACTGGAAAGTAGAAGAGATGATCCAATGCACTTCTAGTTTAATCTACTGGACTCACCTCTCATCAACCACAATATGTTTTCAGAGCTGTGCTACTGAGAAGCAGAGCCACGACTTAATTCTCAGAGTAACTAGAACCTTGTAACTCAGTAGGCCCCAACAGTCCCCAGATGGAATGGAAACCATGATTAGGCTCACCTAGATGGAATGGAAACCATGATTAGGCCTTTTGCCAAATGGGCTCATGCTAAAAACAGATTCAATATCATTCACACAAAAACAAAGAATGAAGCTGCTTCTAGAAATATCTTCAAAAGCTGGCGATAATGTGTCTGGTACAGTGTTCCTGTTCTTTGCTTGGCTAACTCCTATGCACTCCTCTCAATTTAAATATCACTTCCTCAGAGGAGTCTTCCTTGATAGCCTCATGACCAATGGGTTTTAGTTAGTCTCACTCACAGTATCTTTTTCCTTCATAGCACTTTCCAGATTTTGTGATTATGTATTTGTGTGTTTATATGTTTAACGTCTGCCCCTCACCAGTAGAAAAATTACAGCACCACTAAAAAAATTTCATAAGGAAAAAAAATACATATACATATATATAAAACCATCACAAACCAATGCCTGGCCAGGCAGACACTCCATGAACGAACAATGCCCTCCCTCCAGTTGGTGATGTTTATTACCAGGTGCAGCGGCCCTGTGCTTGGCCTGAGTTGCTTGTTGCCTCAGTAAGTTGGAATCACTATGGTTCTGACCCTGTACTTGTCTTCCCCAGAGCACTAAGCCTCCTCTCTCTTCCCCATTCTCAGGAGAACACCACGGAGACACGTCACATCTGTGTAGATGCTGCCTACGCACCTACGCACAGGCATGGTCTAGACAACAGTTTGCAGGGAGCAGCTGCAGCACAGACGATGAGTGGGCTCAGCCTGACCCCGCCCGCCCCACTCAGGATTCAACTCAAGCAAACAGCACAGGAACTGCTCCAAGACGAAGGCTGACAGAAGGATGGGAGCAGACGGGCAGGGAGAGGAAAAGACGCCGGCAGGGGAAGGGAGTGAGGCTGCTTCCCTTCCTCAACACCCGCTGCATGCTCTCCAAGTCGAAGCAGAGGAAGTACCGTGAAGAGGCAGGCTCACTAGTAGGGTGAGCAAAGGCAAAGCCCCTGGGGACAGGCTCTCCTGTCCCCGCCCACTTCTGATGTACAGGGATGATCTGCCCACCCTCAAGTAATTCTGATGTGATCCCTCCAGAGACACACCTGCAAGTGGTTCACAAATGCTCCCTGGGGGCCTCTCCAAGGGACCCTGGCTGCATAGTGAGCTCAGTGGTGATGAGGCTCTGGCCACTCTGGTCTCAGGCCCCTCCAGAGATATCTGGTCCTCAGGCTGGAGCACAGGGTCCTGACCCAACCTGGTTCACGTGCAGCTATTTGCCTGGCATTTCCTGGGCCCACTGCTCACTGTCTCAGGAAGTCAACAGCCCTGGCTTAGAAGTCTCTGAAGCTTTGAATCTGTCAACTCTTCCATGTTCCATCCTTACAAGTCAGCACCAGTGCCCTTAGAGCCTGAACTCAACAGAAAGCTCAGTAAGACAACAACGGGGTAAGGGATGGAGACCAAGAAAGGGCCAAGAAAACCCAGCCTGGCACCAGCCCTCTGCAGGCTGCAGTTGTGCCCAATCCTAAAAGCAGGGGGTTCCACTGCTTTGCCAAGCCTGGGGAGGAATGTGGATTCAGCTGTGGGACAGCTACTATGGCATGTCCAGAACAGGAGATGCCTGATCTTGCCCATCAGTCAGGGCTAAGGTCAACTCACCTTAAAGTTGCCAGGCAATGTGTGCCTGGCTCTCTCTGCAAAACACTGATGGCTGGGCCATCACAGACACATAAGGGCTCTAATGGCAACAATGCCCAGAGCCCAGTGGTATTGTGTGATCGGGTACAGGAGAGTTAGGAGGGGAAGAGTAGGGCACTGCACAGCAGAACATAATTCAACCTGGTAGACAGACCACCAACCTTCAAAGGGATGTGGGCTCTAAAGAAAGATGGTACCAAGTGATGATACAGTCACTCTCCTTCTCAGCACAGTCTGTCCTAAGCTCCACCCAAGAGCTGCTGAAGCCCAGCCAAAGCATGGAGGGTCCCACCACTCACACCAGAGGCATCCCTGCAGGTGTCACACACATGAGCACACATATGCTGGAATTACCAACTCAGGACACAGTAAGGGACTGCCCAGGATGAAGAGACCACCAACCTCCCTAGCTGGGCCTGTGGTCTCGCTCCAGGTAGAGGTGAAGTGTGGGTGGTGAGGAGAAACCTGGAATAAGACCTGGTGCTTCTAGTCCAAGATCTCTTGGAGCACAATTGGG